AGCCCTCATGAAGCACCGCTTCCCTAACACGGCCTGCAGCTAATGGACAACCGTCACGCAGAACTACCTGCATTCAAACAGATTGGAAGAATGCAAACTTGAACGTCCACTCGAATTTGACATCCGAATTCCTGAGACCACCGTTTACCACTGCCTCTTCATGTCCACTGCCTGTTCCAGAATGTTGTAAGTCTTGAATGCAAGCCCCCCCTCCCCGTTCCTTCTCCTCTGCTTCGCGGAACCCGCAGAGTGCTATGCTCTGACGGTGACGGTGGCGGTGACGGTGTCCGCAAGAGTGCCCACGCGAGGGGACTGAGCGGAGCGGAACCGCAGCGCCTGAAAAAGCATGTCATCTTATGAGACTGGCAAGGACATCACTTGGCTGTGCTAGATATGGCAACCTGAACGCGAACCCAAACAAGCAAGGCATCTTGAGGTCGTGGACGCCATGGCGTACGAGTCTTCGCCCCCGAAGGGAGCCCAGCCGTGCCCAGTCGTCTCGGATGGCCCGGCGCCTCTCCTCGAAGGTCAGGTCAGCGACAAAATTGCTCAGGTTAGGCGAAGTCGCGTCGTTTACAGCGACGGGAACAGGGCGAGCGGGAGGCCCGGGCGAGAACGGGCGACCTGGCGAGAAGGCCAAGGCCGAAGCAGGCCCCGCGCCCCGACCCCGAGGCGGGCCCCCCCGGGCTCCTCGGCGGCCTGCCGCGCATCCAGCAGCCGCCCGCGCCGCTCCCTCTCCTGGCACGGGCGAGGGGGGGGACGAGCAGGAATCGGCGTGCGAAGAGCGGCATTTGTGTTCCATTACCAGGGGTGAGGAGGAGGGGGAGGAGGAGGAGGAGCAGGAGGAGGAGGAGGAGGAGGAGGAGGGGCAGGAGGAGGAGCAGGAGGAGGAGCAGGAGGAGGAGGAGGAGGGGAGGAGGAGGAGGAGGAGGAGGGAGGAGGAGGGGAGGAGGAGGAGGAGGAGGAGGAGGAGGAGGAAGAGGAGGAGGAGGAGGAGGAGGAGGAGGAGGAGGAGGTGGAGGAGGAGGAGGAGGACGACGACGAGAAGGAATTGGAGGACGAGAAGGATATCTGTGTTCCGTCACCAGGTGCGCCTGTCCCAGGGCGGCTGGACAATGCGCACCCTCGCGCGCCGCCGTGAGAAAGCACAGACTCGCCAGCCGCCCTGGGACAGGCGTCCCAGACGGCGAAAAAAACATGCCGTGCCGTCCTTCGCCCGTTGGAGGAAGAAGGGGGGAGGAGGGGGGAGGGCACGAGACTTCCGAGTTCCACCCACTTTTCCTGAGCAGCGTTTCGCCAGAGGGCTCTACTGAAGGTCAAACAAAACCACCGAAGAGCCCGCCAGGGGGGACGGTGAGCCCAGGCCCGCCCCCCTGTAGATCGCCCAGTCCAGCAGCCGTTTCGCCTGAGACTTCCTCGCATATCCAAGAATCCTACTCCTCCTCATTATCCTCCTCTTCCTACTCCTCCTCCTCCTCCTCCTCCTCCTCCTCCCCCTCCTCCTCCTCCTCCTCCTCCTCCTCCTCTTCCTCCTCCTCCTCATACTCCTCCTCTTCATTCCCATGCCCATCCTCATCCATTCACAATGCATCCAAGAATGACTTCCTGCTACATGTAGTGTCCGAACGGCCACCACCCCGTGTATAAAAAACACTAGGGTGCACATGGCCGTGCGCTCACCCCATGTCCCTGTTTGCCGACCTCCCGCTGCTCGACGCGCCCCTTCACATTTGCTGCTGTGAGGGTGCCCTGCTGAGGTAACCAACGTGCCGGAACCGTTTTTCCAGGCCCAGGGCCATCAAAAGGCCACCCAGGACGAAAGAACGGTCACGAGGATGGGGTCGAGAATTCGGGGGGGCCCACGCCACGAAGAAAGCATCACGTCGGGATAGCGGGGGG